GGTGTCGGGGTTGGAATTGTGATGATCACTGAGAAAAAGGGCAAACGTAAATCATGGGTTATTACTTCGATTGAGTCTTCACAAAAAGCAGTTGGGAATCAGTGGTAAAGGAAGAAGACTGCCTGGGGTCAGGAACTCGAAAAGGAAAACTCAGATAACTCGCAAATCAAATAGAGATACATTACCTTTCCTGAAGCATCTCTTCTTTGTCTCCTCGATCTGCTTCCTGTTTAGTGCCACACTGTACAACTGAAGACAAAACAGTCGACCACGGAAGTATTCCCTGCTGCCTTTCTGTCCACCTAGTCTGATTGCCTTCCTAGTTTCCAACTGAACTTTACCAATTGTTCGTCTAACAACTGGTTTGGAATTCACCCAAATGGTCAACATTTGACTTCGCTCGTCAAATGTTACAGCAATGTAGCTCCAAGCCTTGTAATTGATAATTCTTCCTCCTGTCTGTACCGTTATTGTCGTCCTTTTTGTTCTTCGGACAATTATCACTTGGAGTACTCTGGGACTGATCATACGCAGCTGGAAGCCTCTGCGGTTTGGATTGTAGTTCAGAATGATTCCCCGTCGTCCCTCGTGATAAACCCAAATACAGACAGTGATGGAGTATCTAGCGTCTAGTTTCCCTGTGTTAGGAATCTCCACGTAGCTATTTGATCTTCCATAAAATTGTGTAGAGCCATCCCGTCTGCCATCAGGGCCTTGTTTGTATGTTATACCATAAAATCTAGCTGATGGGTTTCGATTACGACTGAGATCTCGTCCGCGCCTAATGTAGTCCAGCGGATACACAGCCAGCGTTCTGGGAAGCTCCACTGAAGGAAATAAAAATATCAAATTATTATTTTGAGCGGGAAAATAGCAATTCCTGATTTAAATGCTGTGTTTGAAAGTGTACATACATGTGCGTGAGAGTGAATGCTAAAGATTCCAAACGTAGTCAAACGTGATCATTGTATTTTGATTTGTGTCAAGCATTGTTGATAAAAATTGTGAAGTAAATAACATCAGACTAGTCGAGGAAGATAAGGGAGTTGACACTTAAGAGTTGCTCAGGAATAATAAATACAATAAAGCGATAGAAAATATTTAAATTGTCATATAGTTACCTCGAGGTGTACCGGTTGGTTTGGTGACAGGGCGGACGATGGGTACTGAAAATAAAGAAGGAGTGTGTAAAAAAGTGAAATATTTATGAGCTCCTTCTTTAAAAAGTAGCAATGAATCGTACTATAATGAATTGTGGAGAGGAGATAATTCTTAAAATATTTTCAATGTGTGATGTCTCTGCCAGGGCTTCCCTCTCCAGACAGTGATAAGGTTTGATATTTTATAAAATCATCTCCACCACAGTAAGATTCGAATGAGAAAATAGAAAATTGCCTTGAGACAAATAAGAGAGAAAAGCCATATTTTGTTGCTAAATCATGCCGTGGAACGGTTATTGTTCTATGTTTCCCACTCTTCCCCCCTCGAAGGTCGAAAAGACATTCCTATGCAGAATAACTATACAACCAGTCTTGTGTGGGTGATTCCAGGGCCCAGTTGTTCAAAAGAAGGTTAAGCCTTAACCCAGAGTTAAGTCAGCCTAACCTTGGGGTAAAATTTGAGTCGCATTATTCGAAAGTAGGTTAACACTAACCTCAGGTTAGTTTAACCCGTCTTTGAACAGCCCGGCCAAGATGTTGTTGAACCCAACCCTAACCACGATTTAAGCACTTACGCGGGAGGTTCATTAAAAGTTTCATTTAAAGGAGTTAATTAACGAAAGGGTCCTAAGTTCTAATGCCATTTACTTTAATGAAACGATCAGATCCTGGCATAGAAGATAAGTAATGATCTTCTCTACTCACCAACTTTCTGCCGTTGGCACACTTGCTTCTTTAAAGCCAATATGATTGTCATTAGCATGCTAAATGATGCAGTCACTACATGCTTCCGATCCGTAGCTATCTGGTATAACTGTCTACGCCTGTAGTTCTTTCCAACACCCACTGCGAAAACTTCAGTACCAGTCGCCTTCAAGCGACTGGCAGCAGGACCGACACGGTCTTGTGAAATACCATCAGTGATCAACACCAGCACTTGCTTTCTTTTGCGAGGAGTTCGTTGTTTGAAAAGGTAGTTTCGTGTAAATTCTAAAGCATTTCCGATGCGCGTGCCCCCTCGAGGATAACGCACCTGATCGATCGCTCGGAGGATTTGAACTTTGGACGAATACCGTCGGAACCCGAAAATTGGGATCGGTCGAGAAGAGAATAATACGAAACCGATTCGTGATTTCCCTCGAGACACTTCAAAGAAGCTGACCAACGATTTAATGAGGTTTAGTATGCGACCAAAGTTTCCTTTCCCTTGGAACTCGATACTTCCAGATCCATCGACCAGGAACCCGAGGTCTACAGCAATCTTACACACTATATAACACACAAAAGAAAGACACAAGTTATTACTTTCTACGCCCAATATCCACGGTGTGGCAATTTCTCACATGGTACCGTGCGATAATCAGGTCTAAAAATTTCTTGCGAGTTCAAAAAATCGCACACTGTATAAATCTTTACGATAACGCTGGGCAAAGACGAGCAACGACGACTTCATAGATGAAACAATAACTATTACTAATAAATAATAAATAATAAGCAAAACTTAATTCGTACTAAAAAATACATCGACAATAAATACAATAATAAATTATCTATAACTGTAATGAGAGTAAAAAATTACGATTTTGACTTACTTTCCGGTAGAGGACGTGTCGGAGATGTTACTGAAAGAAAAAATGACACGAGTGATTAACATCAAAATGCAATATTCAAGAGAGCGTGCCTCAGACTACTTCTACTTCCATCTTAAACTAAAATAAACAAAATCTTACAAAGATGCCGCATTAAAGGAAGAAATTCTTGTAACCTCCAAAAAGGTGATATTTTGGTAGATTTTATCAGTGGATGCAAAAGAAGTCTCTTCTGAAGTTCAAAAATTTTAGTAATTCTCAGGATTTGAAGTGCTTGAAAAATATCTTTCACGGTGAATACCTAGAGCTAACATATTTATTTTTAAGCATTGAAACATACTTACTTGAAGGCGTTGGCTTAGAAATTGGCCCTAAATGTGAGTGAGAATGAAAGGGAATTAGGCCTGTTCTAAAAATAATATGCCGGAAATCAACTACAGTGGTAAGGCTTATTCGTAAAAGCAACGATGCGGTTGTTTCGCGAAGTTAAAAGGGCCTTCATGTAAAATCTCATCTCACTTTCGATTTATATTAGCAAGTGTTAATAATTCTCTCTCGAGTATTTTCTAGGAAAGACTTGACAAAGGTGTCCTCCCCAAAATAAAAGTTTCCACAATAGATAAGGATCTTACACGTTAAGCTTTACTATGAATAACCTGTAGGCTAATTAAAGTTGTGTTTTGTTATAAAAGATAAGTTTACTGCTTATCGTAATTATGCACATACAATGTTGCTCAAATGATCTTTAGCATCATGAGTGTGCTGACTCAACCCGTTATTGACTCACCAAATAATTGGCGTTCGAAAGTAACAAAACCACTGTGGTACATCGTTTGCATCGCGATATTCATTCGTTATCAATTGTAAAGACTACCCGTAAAGACTTCCCTGGATTATCCCCTTTGAGTAATGAACTCCAACGAGTACGTTTCGTTCAATGTAACTTTTTAAAACGAGACAAAAAAGTACAGAAACTTACATTTCTTGAAACACCGCTTCCGCGCTCCACGTATCTGTTTCGCGTTTAAAGCAATACTGTGGACTTGGAGACAGGAAATTCTACCACGAAAAGCCCTTTTATCGCCAATTCGTGCACCCATCCTGATTGGATAATTCGTGGCCAGCTCGAAACGCCCGATGCTCTGTCGCGCTACAGGTTTCGAGTCCAGCCATAATGTAGCGACGCCAGTGTTGTAATCGTAAGTGGCTCCAATGTAGTTCCAAGCTCTATAACGCGGTTTTGTAGAGTAGGTCGCAACTGAAGATGTTCGCCCTCTTGAACGTTTCACAAAACGGACGAAAAGCACCCTGGGTCCAACCATCCATAGATGAACTCCGAAACCACGTCGATCGTAGTTGAAGATAGGCCCAGACCGCCCGTTGTGGTAAATCCACGCCAAAATGGTTATAGAACGCCTGGTATCGAGCTTGCCATTGTTTGGGAATTCGATATAACTGTTTGACGAGCCGAAAAACTGAGTTGATCCCTTTGGATTTCCGTCGGGGCCTGGTGCTGGACGGACATGTGACGGGATACCGGGCGGGTTGTTACGAGTGATATCTTTAGTTTTAGTCTCCCCATCCAGGGTAAATATAGCGACAAGAGGGGGTAACTCTGAAAGACAGAAAATCACGCACGTATATCACACAGGATCCATACCTTAGCTCGAATTAATCATGCCTTCAAAACAAAAAGAAAAAGCAAAAGAAAAAGGCTAAAAATGTTAAAGTGCTCATCTTTTCAGGAGGACGAAATTTTGAATCCAAAGTTTAATGTGTTGCAGATTTATAACATTCGTTTTACAAAGTCCAAGTATTAACTTGTGTGACATAAATAAAAACCAACACTAACCTGGAAGAGGCGGCTCAGGTGGGGGGGCACCTAAGATCGAAAATCACATAGTGGCAATTAATACAAACTCATCGAATCAGTTTTAAGAGTGGAATATTGTAGGGGTTTACGCTTAGCTGACAGATAAGTCTTCGGTTGAGGGTTGCATCCACAACTGACTCTAATAATTGCCACACGAGGGCCCAAAATTTCATTATGGGAAAATGTAGATCATAACATATCGATAAATACTATGTATCTATGAGCGTGTCTCAAAACTGAGCTTTAAAAATAAGTAACTTGAGCAAAAGAACCCCCATGTTCGCATTCGCTCTCGCCGGAGATGGTATAGCTCAATGATAACGGGCGGTAAAACTCTTTTCTTTTTGGTAATGCACGTAGTGAGGACAACTTTTGACTTTTTTAACTATTTTATTACGAAAAATTCTGATGATTGATTTATACTTTTATCCTATAAGAAACTTGTAGTGTAACTCACGCTAAAACTTCCAAATGAAAAGATATTTTAAACAAATTTTCAGTTCAATCAAATCCACAGGTGCTCACCTCTGAAACAAACATTGCGTCGCTTGTTCATCTGAGGTCCAGTCAGTGCTACATCAAACACCTGCATACAAGCAATCCGACCACGGAAACGAGTCCTAGATCCTGGTCTGCTTCCCATAATCGCAGGATAATTGGTAGCGAGCCTCAAACCTCTTCCGATATTTCTCTGTGCAATTGGCGTTGACTCGCGCCAGAGGGTAGCTAGCCCAGTCTTACAGTCATAAGTTGCAGCAATATAGTTCCACATCCTCGGGCGAATACCTTGTGCTCTCAGAATGAACGACCTACGACCAGAGCGCCGAACGAACTTCACATACAAGGTATTCCTCCTGAGGATCCAGAAGCTTACTCCCGAACCTCTTGGGTTGTAGTGGAATATAGGACCGCCTTTCTCAGGGTGGACCCAAGCTAGTAAGGTTATCGAGTTCCTGGTATCAATGCCACCATTGTTAGGGAAGTAGATGTAGCTACCGCGCCGACCGGTGAAATAGAAGGATCCCCGTGGGAACTTGTCTGGTCCAGAAGCCAGACGTACCTGACTGGGACGCCCGGGTTTATTTTTCCTGGGGCCGATGTCTCGTCCTTGGGTTCTACTGTTGAGGGGATACAGTGCAACGGCACGAGGTGGTCCTGTAAATTAGGTATACTTTATTTTTAATATTCAGCATAGTTTTCTTAAAACAAAACCATTATCACACTCACCACTTAGAACAAAGACATTTATCTCATAAAGCATCTGAAAACTAACGAAAAAATAAATAACGAAGAAAACAGCCAGAAGCGCGGGAAAACGCAGGTAACTAGATTGTTATGGGTTTTAGCTTTGCATGTCGCTGATTGAGATGCTGGGGCGAGTTTTCTGAGCCAATCACAGAGCAAATCAAGACAAATCAAATGAAAGTTTTGAATACTTCCGACTCTTCTTGAAAATGGCTCTATAAATTAATTAACTGCTGGGTTTAGTTAACCGCCTTTTCATATAACCTTACTTCTCTTGGACAGATGATGTTATAATCACAGTCTGGGCCTTTAAGTTTTATCATTAGTCACTAAACATTATTCTGGTTACTTCCTGCAATTTGAAATTTCTCCATTTTGCTCTTGGGCTTGAAACTAAAATAATTGAATGAACTTGTTTTTGGGAGAGGTTTTATTGGACTGCTTAAACAGCTTCGTCACGGCAACTCTGGCAGCTATTATGATACACTTACTCGTCGGCGTTGGTACGGTCGCTGCAAAAGAAAAATAATTTACAATAAGCTGACTAATCATGACGGATAATCATAAATACACAAAACTTCAAACAAAAACAGCCAACACGAAGATACAAAAAGCCGAATGAAGAGAGACAAGATATTATCCCCCTTATTCTCTGAAGTAAGTTTCGTTCTCAAGGAGTTACGTGTTCCACGCTATTCATCCCTTACGACCAGGATTGAAATTCAATTGGATAAATTTCCGTATCTCTCGAAGTTTTCATAATTTGCGTCGATTTATTTTAATCTTCTATATTTCTTAGATGACTTTTTCAATGTTCCCTAGAAAATTTTCTTTCTCTTTAATTTGTAATATCCATTGTCTGCGTAGTTCAGTCGTGAACATATAAGTTATGCATGACAGAAAAACTTGACTTCACTCACTGTGGAAACTCGCATCGAAGATACCATCGGCTTAAGTTTCAATAACTTAATAAATATTAGACGAGTACTACACGATGATAAACTCACGTCTAGGCGTTGGTCGTGTAGGGCGACACACTTTCTCTTTGATGGCCTGAATAACTTTTCCAAGCCGACTAAATCCAGCCGCAAAAACATTACGAGGGCTTGATGCAATCATCTGTAGCTGACTTCTGCTGAATCGCGAGCCGATTCCAAGGGCGAATAGCTCCACTCCCTCTCGCTTAAGGCGTGAGGCAGGTCCTCGAACACCATCCGAGGAAACACCATCAGATAAGATAAGCAGGGTGCGTTTACGCCCTTGTATGGCGCGCCTTCGGAACAGCACACGGCGGACATATCTGAGAGCTCGTCCAATAAAACTTCCCCGTCCTCTCGGCAGATATCTGGCAAGAATAACAGAAATGTAAATCGCAGCATTTATATTTCCGCCAGGAAACGTTACGTTTTTATTGGCTGGAGGAAAACGAGTTTAGGGCGCGGAACAAAGTTTCGTCCAGTCGAAATACGAAAAAATAGGCAACATGACACCAGTCCTAGACAAACCTTATACGGTTGATGGCTCTGACAATATGCGCTCTTGAACCATATCTGTTGAATCCAAACATGAGTCTCGGTCGAGAGGAGAACAGCATCACACCTACTCGTGTTTGTCGCGTGGACAGAGGGAAGAAGCTGACCAAAGATCTCACGAAGTCAATGACTTTTCTGAAGTTCCTTCGCCCGACGCTGCTGGAACCATCGACAAGAATACCAAGATCCACACGAGATCTGCAAACTAACATAGAAAATGATTAATTTGTAGTTTCACCTGTAACTGATTGCCCCATAACACTCTGAAATATAAAACCCCCTCGCTGGTAGCTAAAGGGCATTAATTTTCTCTAGCCCTTTCTTTGTGCTTTGTTGGCGACGACTGATCCCAATCCATACCGCCTGAAAACCAAGTGATCCAACCGAAAAACCACCGAAACCCCTAAAAAGTCTCCTGATGGAGTTTGAAAAATAAGAATTAAAGTTTCATGTTTAGGAAACAGGCAGTTCAAGGGGAATGGAGTCGCCCTCCGCACTAAACTCTTTTGTTACAACTCCATAGTAGACTAATACACATTAATTTTCATGGTTGCTTAAAGTAATTACGCTCCTGCTATCAGAAACAATAATGCGCAGTTATGCGATATTCATAAACAACCATGATTCACTGAGCAAATTAAGATAGATTTTCCAAAAGGTTTTTAAAAAATTATGCTATGGAGAAGATCTAAAAATGTAAAAATATGTGACGGATACCTGGACTTGGAGTGGCCGGGGGTTGTGGAACTAGAATGAAAAAGAGAAATTCAGAGTTACATAAGTAAAATAATGAAATACACTTGTAAGAAAAGAAGTTGGAATAATTCAATAAAATGTACCAAATCTCTTAATTGCTGGTAACACTTACTTGGTCGAAAGCATTTCTTTTTTAAGGCGATGATCTGAGGTCGCGTGAGTGCCACGTTGAACAGTTGCAGACACGCGATTCGTCCACGAAACACATGACGAGAGTGAGGCTTACGACCGATCATTATGGGATAATTGGTGGCCAGCCCACTTGGGAATCGGCCAACATTTCTTTGAACAATCGGGTAGCCGTTACACCAGAGAGTCGCCAAACCGGTGCGGTGGTTGTAACTAGCTGCAACGTAGTTCCATGTCCTGGGTTTGAGCCCGCGACCAATCAAAGCTTTCACTCTGCGGCCCGTCCTACTCCTTGGAATAAGCCGAAAGTAGAGTTGAGTGAGACGGGTTGCCCACAGATGGACTCCCCATCCTTTGGGATTGAAATGAATCAAAGGTCCTGGAGATTCAGGATACACCCAGAGTATCATCGTCAGCGAGTACCGTGTGTCAAGGCAACCATTGTTCGGGAGAACGGCATAGCTTACTCTCGTTCTTCCCCTAATTCGAGTTCTTCCTGGGAAGTAGTAAGCTCCCTTCGGGTGTCCGTCAGGTCCCTGGATGTAGGAAACACCTACAAGTCGTGCGGGAGGGTTCTTGTATTGACTGATGTCACCGCCTCGTACTGCACTTGTGAAGGGATACGTGGCTACAGCTCCTCTAGAAATGATGACTAGAAGAAAAGTGAAATGAATTAATATATCTACGCTTAATTGCTATTGATTGATTTTCTCTCGTTCTATCCCAACTCTGCAAAGTGGTGTCATTCCAATGCTTCAATATTGACAAGTTAAATTGAACACTATGACTTCAATTTTTCCATTCTATTTGAAGGTTGAAGACAGTCGATGTCTGTCTGTCTGTCTGTCTGTCTATCGGTCGGCCTGCCGGTTGGTTGGTCGGTCAGTAAGCCAGTCAGTCAGTTAGCAAATAGAGTACTAGGACGAAAAGGTCTCAATTGTAACTCCAAAATTATGTAGTCTTACCTGGGGAGTGGCACATCCTGTCCTTGATGGTTCTCACGATAGTCAATAAGCTCTGTGCATTCTTAACAAACACGTGGAACCGGTCTGTAGCGATTTTCCTCAAGTATCGCACACTAACCCGACCAAGGCCGACTGTGTACACTTCAATACCGGCAGCGTGCAAGATTCTTGCCGGACGCACCACATTGTCACGTGTTTCACGAGCAGTTACCAGTACGAGTACTCTTCTCCTGCCGCATGTGGGTTTGCCTCGGAACATATGTCTCTTAACATACATCAGGGCTCGAGCTGTATTTCTTCGCCTTCCACGCAACAAACTCAACTTTTTAAGCTCTCGGTACACTTGCGCTCTACTGTACGATTTGCCAAAGCGGAAAACCAGCCGCTGGCTTGAAGCGAAAAGGGTTAGAGCTACTCTAGTTTGCGATCTCTGGACATCAAATCGCCTGACCATTTCCTTTACGTATTCGATAATGCGCCGGAAAGTGACGGATCCAGTTCGGCGAGAGCCATCGATAAGGAATCCCAGGTCGATGCGGGCTTTGCAAACTTAAAATCAAAACAAAATATGTGTAAAATGTCAGTTTACTTTGAGCACGGTTGGAACAACTGTAGCACATCTCGTGACGAACTTAGTAACGAAGGAACTTTTTAAGTCAACCTATTAAAAGCGTTTTCTGGAACCACTGAAATCAATGTAATCCATATCAATCATTATACCGAGATAAGAACAAATTGATAAATAAATGAACAGATAAAACACATTAGGAAAAAAAGCAAAAGTATGAGGAACGAAGGATCTTTCAGAGCACGACACCTTAACGCAGAACTACAGGGATACTCCATGATTTTTCTCTGAGGTGAAAGAGTCTTGGTAACAATTTGTTACTTAAATCATTTTGCAATTCCAAAGAGAAACCTGAGCGTTTGAGCACAAAGTCTTCGAATGAGAGTTAAGAACGGAATCATTTGTTTTGCTTAAAAAAAAAAACATTTTCATTTACCTCTCGGAGGCGGAGTTGTTGGTTTGGTGACCGGCGTCGTTGGCTTAGGAACTTGAAATAAAATTAATACACAATTTTATGTAAATATAATTTGTTTTAATACCTTAAGATCTACAATGACTAGTAGTCGGGCGTAGGCGGTGCTTTCTTTAACCTAACATAGATTCGGCCAACTGGTTGGTTTCCAGTAAAGCTTGCATCGAGAGAAGAAAATATTAGCGAAGCGACTTCAAAGTTTCAAACGCAAAAAGCGGAAGGCTACCGACACTGTCAAAAAGTTGGTTGGCAAACAATGCAATAGTAGACTTCTTCTTCCGCAGTTCAATTGAAACAACTCCCAGCCTAAGAGGAGAGGACTCAAAATCAGACCTGAGAATGCAGTTCATCAACATTACCTGGCAAAAAGCACTTCCTTTTAGCTTCAAAGATCTGTTTTCTTGTCAACGCGACGCTGTAAAGCTGTAAGCAGAAGATCCTTCCTTTGAAATAGTTGCGACTTCTCCTGATGGCTCCCAGTCTGATAGGATAGTTTGTGGAGAGACGCACTCTACCCAAACGCCGTCTTGCTACCGGCTGAGAATTCAACCACAGCGTAGCAATACCAGATCGTTCGTCATAAGTAGCACCAACATAATTCCAAGCTCGGTACTTTAACCGATTGCTTCTCAAGGGGCGAGTTGTGCGTCCGTCGCGGCGCATAAAACGAAGAAATAGCTGCCGATAACTCGTCATCCACAGATGAACGCCGTAGCCATTCGGATTGTAGTTTACAATTGGTCCCTTGCGGCCATTATGGTACACCCAGATTAAGAAAGTTATGGAATACCTCGCGTCCAGTTTCCCACGGTTGGGGATTTCCACGTAGCTGTTAGGTCTTCCGTAAAATTCCGTAGAGCCGTCCGTACGACCATCAGGGCCTTGTCCATATTTCACACCGACAATTCGTGCGCTCGGATTTCTTCCTCGACTGATTTCTCGACCTGCTCGCACACGATCGAATGGGTAAACAGCCATAGTACTTGGGAGACGAACTGAAGTTAAGATGAACACCTTTCAGAAACACTAATTTCGTGTATAGTTGAAGAGAGGTAAACGAATCGAAATCTTTCTTTGAAAAGATCGAATTGAAATTTCGAGAGAATTTAAAAGTAAAAACAAAACTTAAAGTAATTTTCATTTCTTCATATAACCTCAAATGATATACGGCATTTAAATCGAGCAACAGCTGACCTACCTCTTGGGGGTGTTGGTACTGCAAAAAAGCAAAGGAAGGGAAAATCAGATAACATGAGAAGTAAATATATTTTAAATTAAGTAAGGTTCAATTATCACCTTATCTTTTACGTTGTATGGACACAGGATTAATTTCAAAGATGGAATAACTTGAATTTTAGTGTGCAAGCAGGCTAAGAAATTGAATTGGATATACACTTTTTTCAATTGAAAATATTGGTCTTTACAAGAGCAATGCTTACTTGGAGTGGGCACTGGCTTCTGGCAGGCTTTGCTTTTAATCTTCTGTATAACTTTCCCGAGCGATCTAAAGGACGCCGTAAATATATGATTGTTATCGGTAGCAATCTGCCGTAACTGAGATATTCTATATCCTCGTCCGATGCCAAGAACGAAGATCTCACATCCTGCAACACGAAGACGACGCGCCGGTCCACTTACACGGTCCTGGGAGATGCCATCGGTAAGCACGACTGTCACCCTCTTTCTATTAGACGCTGGTCTTCCTGGGTACAAATACCGTCGGGCAAATGACAAAGCTTTTCCAATGTAGGTACCTCCTCGGGGATACCTTAGGTTCTCTATAGCTCTCAAGATGGCCGCCTTCGTATAGTATTTATTAAACCTGAAGATAGGTATAGCTCGGCGAGTGTAGAGGATCACACCAACATGAGTATCTCGGCGAGAGATTGGAAAGAAGCTCACAAAAGACTTGATAAAGTTTAACATACGGGCAAAGTTTCCTCGGCCGTAACGTTCAATACTGGAGGAACCGTCGATAAGGAAGCCCAGATCAATAGGTACGGCACAAACTAAAGAACGAAAAAAGAAGATAAATTAGGGGCAACTAAAAACAGGCAGATACCAGAGAGACTGTCTAATTGTTATGTTAAAGTTTTCTCACTATTTTGATTGATGGAGTCCATTGAAAGGCGCCCGAAATGAACTGTTCATTATGTGTTTTGATAAACCCGATCTTTCTGGGTGGACGAACGGTTTTAAATACGACACGTGTACACTGATTAAAAATACAAACAGAAAGGTTTTGAAGAGACTCAGACTTAAGTAATATTTTGCCTCAACATTTCTGGCCAATTGAAAGTATTTGAAATTCCATCACAATAAAAGGCTTTAAAATTCAGCAAATCAGAAGCTCTTTCAAGATTTTACCTGGCAAAACCATAACGGAGAAAAGACGCTTAAAATAGTCAAGTATTACTAAAATTCTAGGTTGGGTACATCTCTGGCCTTTCGGAAAATAACGACAAAGCTGTACAACAAACCTGGTCGAGGAGTTGATGGTTTCTGAGTTGGTGCGGTGGGTACAACCACTGGAAAGTTTAAAGAAACATTATATTAATAGAATTCTCAAAAACTAGTAGACACCTTTACACCTTAAAAAGGTCGCTTGAACGAGAGCTATAGCATTCGGCTGACAAATCATCATTTGACGCTGTTGATTGCTTACGCTCAGGTTGTTAGGAGGTGAATCACGATCACTGAAGGGAGCTTTTTTATAAACTACTCTCATCTGCAGGATTACACCATATTATCGACAATTGTTTTTACACCAATTCGGTTCAAAGTATTTACTAAACATCAATGTCTACCAAGACACCTCGTGCGATATGACTTATGGCGACAACAAACCGTCGCCGTGGAAATCGTTTCCAAATACTCGAGTTCAACAGTATTCCACGATCATAGATAATCATTTTCGAGGTAACTTCACAGCTGAGTTCAAAGACTCTTGTACAAAAGGTGACGTGATAGATGGTTCATGTTTATCATTGCGCTTTTGAACGCAATTAGACTGTAATTTCTTCTCCTACCTGGTCTAAAGCACTGCTTTCTCCTAGCGATAATCTGTGCTCTCGTCATAGCCACATTATAAATTTGCAAACACGCAATACGTCCACGAAATATGCGACGATCTCCAGGCCGCTGACCAATGACTATGGGGTAGTTCGTGGCTACGCCCAAAGGAAACTTTCCGATATTCCTCTGAGACACAGGAAGCCCATTCAGCCAAAGCGTTAAAAGTCCTGTGCGGTGGTCATAAGTAGCACTGATATAGTTCCAACTGTAAGGCTTCAAGCTCTGGGTGGTCAGTGGTTTAACATTATGCCGCGAGCCCTTTCTAGGCATTAAGCGTAAGTAGAGCTCGTTTGGATGAGTGAGCCACAAGTGAAGGCCCCATCCCTTCGGATTGTAGTGCACAATGGGACCGGGCTTCTCCGGGTAAATCCAGGCAATTATCGTAATAGAGTAACGAGTGTCCAGACATCCGTTGTTTGGGATCAGAGCATAGCTGCCTCTTAATCGTCCTCTTTGTCTTCGCATCCCTGGGAAAAATAAAGCTCCCTGCGGATGTCCATCTGGGCCTTGAATGAATGAAACGCCAACAAGCTGTGCTGTTGGATTCCTGAACCTACTGACGTCACGTCCGCCAGAGGTGCTTGTAAATGGATAGAAACCGACTGCACCACCGGAAACAATAACTAAAAAATTGAAAAAAAAAAAAAAGCGTTGTTAAAGGCGAAACTCACGGGGCGACAACGTGTTAGGAACAAGTCGTAAAGACAAACAGTTTCGAATAATTTAGGACATTTTTAGACAAAATTTCTGTCCCCGAAAAATAAATTTGTCTCCGTCACAGATTGCAAATATTCAAAATCTGCACGATGATATGCGCGGCGATAAAAGAAGTAGCACTGACTTTTATTAGGAATAGTGTCCATGAGAGAGAACTGTGGAACGAGTTTTTACCGTGTGTTTCCCAGCATTATACTATTTATGAATTATTTTCGACGGCCATATTTCTGCCACACATATCTCTTGAATTTTCTATTCGCAGACACTCGATGAAACGCAGTGGAGCAGAGAATGTGCAATGCATGACATAACGAAAAACCGATTCTCACTGCTGAGACAAAGTAAAATATTTAGATACCTGCTTTGCTAAGTTTTAAAAATGCGGAAATTGTTTGACTACCAGAATCCTACTGACCTGTCGAACTGCATATTTTATCTTTGATAATCCTACTTAATGACACCAACTGCCTCGCACCAACTCTAAAAATATGACTTGAGATTGTGGCAACACGAAGCAACGATTGTCTCCTCACTCTTCCAATACCAACAGCGTATAATTCTACACCCGAGGAAAATAATCCTCTCGCAGGCCTTGTGACATCATCGCGGGACTCTCCAGTTGCCAGAACAACAAGAACCCTTCTTCGCCCGCAGCGTGGTCTACCTCTAAATAGGTAGCGAGCTGTGTAAGTCAAGGCTCTTCCAAGGTATCTGCCAGTGCGACCGATGGGTCGGATCTGATCAATCAGTCTGCTTATTTGACTTGGATTGTAATTTCTTCTAAATCCCAAGAGGAGCCTAACTCTAGAGGTGTACAGTACAATGCCAATTCTAGCTTTCAGCCTGGAAACTTCAAATAACCTGACTGTGTCCTTTAAGAATCTCAGGATGACACGGGAGCTGTACCTGACGCGAGACGCATCCACCAGGAAGCCGAGATCGATACGCTGCCTGCAAACTAACAGAGAAATAATAGAAGCTTAGGGAAAAGCATTTGCAAATCATCTTCAGTTTTCTTAAACTTTGTTAAAATTGTTAAAATAAGCATGATGAATATATTCTATCATGATAGGCCTACCACGTGGCGCTGGTTTTGGACGAGGACCAGGAGGAGGAGTAGGAGACGGAACTGCAAGAGAAGAGCTATCTGTTAATACCTTCGTGATCATAAAAAAGTTATCTTTAAGTCCTATGTACATGAGCTGTGTCATAAATTTAAACCTGTGTACCAGCATACATATACAGCTTTCTTATTCAGATTGTCATCAACGAAAGCTCAATGTACAAACCTTAACCTTTGTTATTTATTATTTAGAAGCATTTAAACAGAACGTGGTCAGCACAAACCTGGTAGAAAGCATCTCTGTTTAGCCGCGAAGATCTGTTTCTGGCTGAGTGCAGCACTGTATACCTGCGCACAAAAGAGTCGTCCTCGGAAATAGCGCCTGTCACCTTCCCGTGCTCCGAGTCTCACGGGATAATTTGTCGACAACTTTATTCGCCCTAAACGTCTAATTCCGACGGGTACTGAGTTGATGTAAAGCGTCGCCACGCCCGTTCTGCCATCGTACTTTGCACCGACGTAATTCCACGCCTTGTATTTCATTCTTCCACTTGTGATCGGTGACGTGAATTTCCCTGAGCGTCGCACAAAGCGCGCGAAAAGTTGGCGCCGCCCTGTCATCCAGACGTGCACGCCAAAGCCTCGTGGATTGTAATTGAATATGGGTCCTGATATCCCTGCGTGGTACACCCAGATGAGAATAGTTATTGAGTATCTTGTGTCCAGCTTTCCTGTGTTAGGAATTTCGACGTAGCTGTTCCGTCGTCCATAGAAACGTAAGGATCCATCACGACGGCCGTCCGGACCTTGAGCCGTGCCTACGCCCATTAGAGTGGCCGAGGGATTTTTAGTTCGGCTGATGTCTTTACCCCGCCTCGGACCGTCCATAGGGTACACGACTACAGAATCTGGAATATAAACTGCAAGATAATTGTAACAGAAAATAAATTCCAAAGTCAGAGGAAAATCTTCTCGTCTTAGTATCAAATTTGCTGTGACACGACCTGAGTGACCTCAGTGTTAGCGGATCGGAATCACTGTAACAAAATTTCAACTGGTAGCAACAATCAAAAGAAGATTATGATATAGCTCGTTTAAGAGCTGGTTTGAAATGATACATACT